GTGCAAAAGGGAAAACACATAAAAAGTACACATGAAAAAAAACTGCCATCAAAAGCATGTTTTCAAAAAATAAATTGCTGGGTATGTAACCTTCTTAAGACTAATATCCAGATCACCCTGCATCAGTTAACAGTGTTGCATCCTACTAAAAGTAGCGACATTCTATTAGGCCATATTTACCATTTCAAACTTCCTTTTCTATTAGCCAGGGTCAAGTGCTACATCCAAACCAGAAGTGGCCTTCATCTGATTTATAATATATGGGGCATATTTGTCATGTCAAATGTGGGACAAGTTAGGCTTACACACTTATTAGCCAATCCTGACTGTGTCACGGAATACTCAGGGAAATAAAATAAGATCTAAGTGCAGCTTTATTTCCCAGACGAGATCCAAAACCCAGAGCAACAGGCAAAAAAAAAAAAAAAGCTAATCCACAGGGTGAAACAGAAAACACAAAGTAGCATGTGCAATACTGCAGCAACAAAAGACTCGGTGAGCATGGTATAAATAATGATGAGCTAATGAGTCAATGACATACAGCAGTAAAACAATCATGAGTGCAAGGGGTGATGGGAACTGAAGTCCAAAACAAACCAACAGTGAACAAAAGAGTGTCCTCTGGTGGCTATCACAGGCACACCAGCTGATGGCTGTGACATGACCCCCGCTTTAAGGAGCGGATTCCAGACTCTCCACTCAATGTCAAAAAGTCCAGGAGGGAGGTGGAATGGAGATGGATCAGGGGGAGGGATGGCGGACCAGGTCCGTGTACCGGAGCAGGTGGCCAGGGCAGGGCCGGCAGAGCAGGCGGCCAGGGCGGGGCCGGCAGAGCAGGAGGCCAGGGCATAGCGTAAGCCCACCAGGGCAGAGCAGGCGGAGCTGATGCCCACCTCAGTGGAGCTGATGGTGCAAGAGACCACCAAGATGGCTCAGATTGGGCTGGACTAGAGAGCAAGAAGAGGTTAACAGTGGCCTCTGCGGCCGCAGCAGGACAAACGGAGAGTTCAGGAACTGCCTTCTTAGCCGCAACAAGACAGGCAGAGAGTTCAGGAGTGGGCGCCACCACCCAGAGAAGAACTGAAGCAGACGCCGCCGACTCTGAAGGTTCTGCAGCGGAAGCTGCCACCTCAGAAGGATTTGGAATGGACTCTGGAGTGAGCTCTGAGGCAGGCTCCGGGGGCCAACAGAGCAAAAAGCTTGGGCAGAGCCAGCAGGGCTAGGAGCTTGGGCGGAGCCGGGACGGCCTCCTGGCCGGCAGTGGGCTCTGTAGTGGACTGTGAAGGCTCTCGGACTGGAGCGGGCTCTGGAGTGGACTCTGAGGGCTCTGGAATTGCCTCCTCAGGAACGGGTTCTGGAACAGCAGGAGTGGACTTATCTGTCCTCCTCCTTCTCACCCTCTGTTTCTCAGTGGGAGTCGGAAGGCCAGGGGTGGTGGGAAAATCCCTGCGGAAGGGTTCTGATTGGCCTGGTGTTGCCCACTGACTTCAACTATGGAGATACCTGACGAAGCCCCAGAAGTCTAGGATCCAAAGTCCCTCCATCTCCCACTGGGGTAGAGGATCATCCAGGCAACCATTTAGGAAGTCCTTGAGTGCCATCTAACTATACTCCAGCCCTACCGACAAAGTCCAGAACAACTGGGCGAAGCCTCCCACTTCCATCCCCTGCTGATGCAGAGCCATCAACCCCTGAAGTCGAGCCATCCGCTCCTCCCTAGTGGCAGGAGAAGAAATACGGATATACATAGTCCCAAGGTGATTGAAAAAACTGCTAGATCTTGAAATGGCTGCAGTATTCTGTCACAGAATACTCAGGGAAACAAAATAAGATCTAAGTGCAGCTTTATTTCCCAGAGACGAGATCCAAAATAGTGATGTTAGGTTCGTGAACGAATCGTTCTTTTGAGCCGGTTCTCAGGGAGTAACCAGTTGAGCAGGTTCACAAATCGAACTGAATCGAACTTTAGTTCTGGGTTGATGACGCAGGACGCACAGCCGAAGTAGCACGTCCAACTCAAAAAGAACCGAATGAGCCGGTTCAACCAACTGTCGAAGTTTGCCGAGGATTACCGAGGACTCAACAAGAACGGAATGAGCCGTGGCGAAGTTTGCCGAGGATTACCGAGTTGAGTTGACGATACTGTGCAACTTGCCTGAGGCGCGTACTGGAAATATGCTTATTATGACTGTTATTAATTTACATTTTATTAAAACCTTCAAAAACCTTTCTGTCAAGGTATGTAAATACATTTTTCAATAGTTTGTGCATGCATATTATATTTAAAGTTGCTTAAGCGAAATCAGACTGGTTTATTCATTATTTCTACTGTAGACATGTAGAACATATCTGTGTGTGTGCATCAATGTCTGTAATGTGTGCTGTAGGTGCGAAACTTTTAGGAATCTTATCCAAGTTGTAGGCTAGTCAATATTGGTCAATCAGTCATATCTGAGGATCCTCAAATGAAACTGTGACCACAAACACCATTAACTTAAGTGAATTAATGGCAATAATCAGCAATATGCTTTCACACAAACACATTTATTTTTGAATGTTTCAATATGTGTTGACACAAATGACTTATTTGAATTTTTCATTGATACAACATGACACTGAGTTGTTAGAAAATAAATGCGTAGACACTTTATTGCTTGATGACGTCAAGAACCGATGAATCAGCTTTTTGAACCTGTTCAATGAGCCGATCTGTCCGAAAAGAACCGGTTCGCGGAAATGAATAGAACTGTGCATCACTAATCCAAAAACCAGAGCAACAGGCAAAAACACTAACAAAAGGCAATCAACAGGATGAAACGGAAAACACAAAGTAACATGTGCAATAATGCAGCAACAAAAGACTGGGTGAGCATGGTATAGATAATGATGAGCTAACAAGTCAATGACATACAGCTGGTGGCAGTAAAACAATCATGAGTGCAAGGGGTGAAGGGAACTGAAGTCCAAAACAAACCAACAGTGAACAAACGAGTGCCCTCTGGTGGCTATCACAGGCACAGCAGCTTATGGCTGTGACAGACTGTGCCATTTCTTTGCCAAAACTGGCCCAGATACGTTTTAATATACCTGGGCCACATTTGCTGAAACATATGTGGACCACATTTGGTTTACACCCTGATTAGCCTTTGTCGATTGTGCCACATTTTTGCCAAAGGTGACCCACATTTGGTTGGCACTATTTGGGCCATATTCACTGTTTACCACATGGGCCACTTTAGGGTAACATTCAGATTACACATTGCCGTGAACACCGCATCTTTGCCTACAGAGACCCACATGTGATTTGATACATTTTTGGTATTTTACTTATGTGCCACTTCAGGCTTACATCCATTTTGTCCGGGCCGTAAGAAGGCCAGCAGTGCCGAATCGTTGCCTTAAATGGCCCACATCCGCATGCTATCTTGTGGCGCTTTTCCACTGCACGGTACGGCTCGGTACGGTTCACTTTTGGGGGGTTTTCCACTGGGTACAGTACCTGGTACCTGGTACTTTTTTTAGTACCACTTCGGTGGGGGTTCCAAGTGAACCGTACCGTTACCAAAACGTGACGTGTAAACTCTGCTGATCACGGATTGGCCGGAGAGAATCGTCACTACCTGCATCACTGAACTTGCGACACAAACACAAAAGAACCGCTAGATTTAAATCAGCAATGCGGAATGAAAAAGTTTTTTTTAGGAGTCATGGTAGTAGAGCGGCGCAACTATAACGACATGTGAATAATCCCGCCCACTCTAAAGCGGTACTGAACTGCAGTGGAAACGCAAACCGTGCCGAGCCGAACCGTGCCGTGCCGTACTGAACCGTACCGAGCCGAGTCGTACCACGCAGTGGAAAAGCGCCATTGGATGGCTGGAGATAAATCTGACTTCTCCAGAACACCTTTCTTTCAAATCCATATTTAGAGACGTCAGTAAGCTGCACAGGGAACATCATGTTCTCACAGCTTGACTCAGATTGTATAATGTAAAAAAATGATAAATGACAACTAGACAGGTTCTTTTTTTCTTATTTTTTTCTTTGCAAATACCTTTTATTCTGCATTTATGATTTAATAAAAAAATCCTTTACTGTATCTTAATACTGCAATATAGAGAATGAGAAGAATCATTGAGAAAACTATTTTTAACAACTATGAAATCTTTATAAACTCTATAAAACAATAAAAGCATTAAAAAAGCCATTTCATAAATATTGTTACTTTCTTAAGTTCTAGACCATTCAACCATAATGTACCTTTAAGAGAAATTTGAGGCAGTACTTGATTGACATGCAATATGATCAAGGTTTCATGGCTGCGGGTTTTGCGGGACAGTACAGAGAACAGTGCTAAATGACTGTAACTGAGCATTTAGCAACTCCATGCTATACAACAGCATTTCTGGTCAATATTTTGCCTTTAAAGGTCAAGCTAATGTGAACTACTTTAAAAGCCACACTAAATCCAATAAGATCACAATAATTAACCTAAACATTTTCATTTTTATTACTGTGAATGCAGAACCATTTAATATTTGAAACCCATCATAATGCAGACATGCACACTACTTGGTTCTTAAAAAAAAAAAAAAAAAAAATTGTAACTCAGCAGAACAATTTCAGTCTTTTCATTAACTCCTTATGTTGAGGTTACACTTCAGTTTGGGGACCAGTTCTCACTATTAACTAGTTTATTATTATTATTATTATTATTATTATTATTAGCATGCATGTTACTAGCATACTGGCTGTTTATTAGTACTTATTAATAAACATATTAATGCATTATTCTTCATAATCATATATTAGATCCCTTAATCTAACCCCATACCTAAACTTAACTACTGCCTTACTATCTATAAGCAGCAAATTAGGAGTTTATTGAGGCAAAAGTTGTAGTTAATAATTAGTTAACAGTGAGAATTGGTCCCCAAACTAAAGTGTGACCACTCAGACAGAGTTTATATTAGCATATAGACCATATATGTTTCAGAAGCATTTGGAGAACTTCTGTCTTTACATTCTGAACACAGACACTGCTTTATGGGAAATAAATAGGTCACATTTCTCCTTACATGATTTGCATGCTAAATTATCAGGTTGAAACCATTCTCTGCAGAAGGATGTGGCCATGGTGAGCTTCCTCCTACAAAACAGTCTTTAGCCATCCACAGCTGGCAAATGGAAAATACCAGCTATTTATCAAATGCTCCTCAATTATGGATGCTGGATATCTTGCAGAGTGTTGCAGTAATACATTTCCAGCCAGTAAGCGGAGGGGGAGAAAACGAAGGAAGCACACACACTTTTCACTACAACTGCCAAAGGGCAAGAGGTTTAATCAATAGTTTGTGTTACAAATCCTCTGGCCATATAGAACAAACTAATCAGGATTTATTATATTCTCAGTGAATTATAAAAATATGACCTCTGCGAAACACATATTGCAAAACTATTTAAAGTTTAGTCACACTTTTTATTAGAAATGTTCATGTACACATGTGGACAGTAATACTAATGAAGAGTACACAAAAAAAAATGACTATTTAAATTGTAATACATTATCAATATACAATTTAAAATGCATAAATTTAGAATAACATTTTATTTTAAAACTTAGTTTAAATACACTGCCATTCAACAGTTTTGGGGTCAGTAAGATTTTTTTTATTATTATTTTATTTATTTTTAAGAAATTAATACTATTATTCAGAAAAGATTAAATTGATGAAAAGTGACAGTAAAGAATTTCACATTGTTATAAAAAAGTTATTTTAAATGTCCTATTCATAAAGGAATCCAAACATGGTTACAACTGTTTCAAACACTGATAATAATAAGAAATGTTCCTTGAGCAGCAAATCAGCATATTAGCATGATTTCTGAAGGATCGTGTAATACTAAAGACTGGAGTAATGGCTGCTGAAAATTCAGCTTTGTCATCACAGGAATAAATTACCCTTTTGAAATATATTGAAATAGAAAACAGTTCTTTTAAATTGTAATTTTATTTCATAATATTACTGTTTTACTGTATTATTGATTGCATAAATGCAGCCTTGGTGAGCATATAAGACTTTTTAAACAAATATTAACCCTAAACTTTTGAACGGTAGTGCATTTAAACTTTTAAATTAAATTTAGTTGTATATGTCTATATTTTAAATTGTATATTAATAATGTATTACAAATAAAATAATGTCATTGTTTAATAATTAATACTAATTTAATGATCAAAGTACCTATTACCTCAGTTAATAAATGCATAAAGTGGTTGTTGTGATGGTAGTGAAATAATATTTAAAAGGTAAGATTCTACACATTAAAAATAATATTAAAACAAATGCAAATAAAGTACTTTGTTATTGTGGACTGTAAAGTAGCAGGAGACAGTTTTTCTGCAAACCTGTGCTTAGCAAATACGTGTGTGTGTGTGTGTGTGTGTGTTTTTTTCCTCTGCAACAAGTTCTACCATGAATGACTGACTGACTAAATAAATAAAAAAGGAAATGTGTAAAAGAGGCAAATGTATAATTCATCAGGACAGGAAGCACATTTATAAACTTTCTAGCTTAATTTCCTCCGTCTCACTATGTGTCTGAGTAATCAGAGAGGTTTTGGCATGCAGATAACAGGAAATCAACTAACACAACATGAGTCCAACTCACTAAATCACTCATTACTGTACAGGAACAAAACCTTGCAGAAAAAAAGTAGGAAGAGGTGAACAGAGAGGAGAACAGGATGATTACAGGTCACATTCATGATATTTTCTAAGACATTACAACATTCTTACAGTATGACTCATTGCAATGAGTCACATCGTTCAGCTAATTTTTGGACTCATTTATTCAGGTATTTATTAGTTCTTCACACAAAAAGTAACAATATTGTTGAGCCTTGCTAGACTTGATTTTCTATTCAATACCTAATAGGGCCTATAGAGCTGCTGGTACAAGGCTTTAATCAAGCAGTCATGGCTGAAGGACCTTCAAACTATTCTAATGCCGTTTTGTGAACAGGAGTTAGCTGAAATAAATTATAATGAAGTTCTGTCTGGAGGAAGCAAAAAATATATCTGTCTATAATAAATATAATATAATATAATATAATATTATATAATATAATATAATATAATATAATATAATATAATATAATATAATATAATATAATATAATATAATATAATATAATATAATATAATATAATATAATATAATATAATACCATATCATATCATATCATATCATATCATATCATCATATATCATATCATATCATATCATATCATATCATATAATATGATATAATAATTTAATATAATATAATAATATCATATGCAAAAACAGTTCAGACAACTGATATGCAAATTCCAAGTTTAAATAAAAAAAAAAAAAATAGTAAAATACTTTAGACAAATCAAAATAGCGAATAACAAAATATTTAAAATAAATAAATAAATATAGCAAAATTGCAAATAGCATAAAACATTTAAGAAATGTTTTAAATCATTTAAAAAAAAAAAAAGTATACAGGTTGGAAACAACAAAAGTTTGAGTATGTTAAGGAGTTGTTCACACAAAAAACATTAAGTAGTAGTACTCCAAAATTGTGTACACTGGTGTAAAAATATATTTCCACTGCATCGGTCTGATATTGTTTACCAATACTATACATT